TCCTGGAGGATGGATGCAGGTTGCTGCTCAAAATATGCCGGTGTCGAGCTTAGTGATTGGTTCGTTATTTCCAAATTATTAACAGACTCAGTACGTTTTTGTTCAATCCAGGTGTGGATCTGGTGCCTATCAAGCCTATTCACAATTGCATCGCTCTGCAAGGAGATATCACAACGGAGAAAACTAGACAAGCCATCAAGAAGGAGCTTCAACGTTGGGAGGTGAGTACAAAATCAAAAGAGAAGAATAACAAGGTAGCTGACTTTTTTAGGCGGATTGTGTTCTTCACGATGGTGCTCCAAACGTGGGTTTGAACTGGATTCATGATGCGTTCCAACAAAATTGTCTTGTTTTGTCTGCGCTGAGATTGGCTACGCAGATCCTTAGGAAAAATGGAACTTTCGTCACAAAGGTTATCTTTCTTTCTTTTTCCATTTTCTACCTAAAGTAGTTTTTGTAATTAATTCTTTAGGTTTTCCGTTCAAATGACTACTCCTCACTGATCACTGTGTTCGAGAAACTTTTCAGAAAAGTTCATGTATGGAAGCCAGCTGCTTCTCGTCTTGAATCCGCAGAGATTTTCGTTGTCTGTGAAAAGTATCTGAAACCTCCAAAGGTAAAGTTCTAGTAAAGCTCTGTACTTTTAGTTCTCTTTTCACTTAATTTGTTAGATCTATCGAACAAACTTACTTTGCCTTGACATCATTCATCGGTTCTCAAACCATTATTTTTCCTTTGTCAGCGGTTAACCAGCTGCGTATAAACGAGACTCGAAGGTCTTTTCCATGGTGAAAAGGTTTAATTTACGCAGCTGTGTGCTTAATCTCTCTTGTCCTTCCAAATAAAACGCAACAACAGAACCATTTGACTCGATTTAGGTAGCTCCAGAACTGCTTGATCATAAGAAAGTTTTCTCTGAGCCTGATGGTGATGAAGCGCATAAGTCAAATCCGTAAGTTCTAGCATTGCCTTAAGTCTTCTTTTTCTCCTTTGTCCACAATGTTTTAGTCAAACTCTCTTTCTGGGAAAGAAGGAAAAGAAAGCTAAAGCAGAAGGTTATGAAGAAGGTATGCTGGCAGTACACAAAAAAGTTGATGCAACAACATTTATCCAAGCACATGTAAGATATTTTCATCGGAGCTTATATTTAATGGGTTCTGTAGAGTTTCGCCGTTTTAGGAATATCTGGAAGTGTTAGGCGGAGCAAATGAAATAGTTCTTGATCAGGAAAAGTGGAAAAACGCTCCGGAAACAAATGAAGAGGTGACTTTGAAACATCATAACGATTTTTTTGTGTGTTTCATCAGGCTATGCAACTATAGATTCGCGAGTACCTGAAAGATTTGAAAGTCTGTGGGCCGCGTGAACTGCGAAAACTGTTGAAATGGAGAAAAGCCA